AAAGATGCTCAATGTCACTAATTATTAGAGAAATGCAAATTAAAACCACAGTGAGATATCACCTCACACCTGTTAAAATGACCACCAACAAAAAAAGATCAAAAAACAAGTGTCGGCGAGGACATGGAGGAAGGGGACCCCTCACACAATGTTGGTGGGCCCACAAACTGGTACAGCCACTATGGAAAACAGTATGGAGATTCCTCAAAAAACTAAGAATTGATCTACCGTATGATCCAGCAATCCCTCTACTGTATTTACCCCAAAGACTTGAAAACCCATATCCAAAAAGATAATTTGCACACCGATGTTCATAGCAGCATTATTCATGGTGGCCAGGACAGGAAAGCAACCGAAGTGTCCTATGATAGAGGATTAGATAAAGAAGCTGTGGTATATATATACAATGGAATGTTACTCCCATAAAAAGAGATGAAATAGTGCTATTTGTGACAACATGAACAGATCTCAAGATAATCATGCTAAGCAAAATAAGCCAGCCAGAAAAAGTTGAAAATCACATGATATCACTTATAAGTGAGATATAAACCTAAAAGCAACAAATGAACTGGACAAACAGAGACTTATGGACATGGACTATAGACTTGTGGTTACCAGAGGGTAGGTGGTAGGGGAGGAGGGAGTAGGTAGACAGGTAAAGGGGGTCAAATGTAGGGGTTTGGGGGAGGGTGAAGGTGGGTAAAGGGGATTAAATACATGGTAGCTAAAGGAAACTGGACTTTAGGTGGTAAACACACAATAGAATATACAGATATCAAATTATATTGTACACTTGAAAATTATATAATTGTATTAACCAAAGTTATCCCAATAAACTTAATTTTTAAAAAGTTTAAAAAATTTTTTAAATAATAAATTAGAATTGGGGTCACATTTTCATTACTAGTCTGGGCACTACCAAATTAAAAAAAAAAGTGGATGATATTGTTAGAGTCTTTACATTTTAACGTTGACTGTAGAAAGAAAGAGAAAGATGAAAAAAAAAAGAAATAGTGGGAAGGAAAGGAGAGAGACAGAGAGCAAGGGAGGAGGAAGGAGAAAGATGGTACTTCTCTCTCTAACCACTTGGAGAAGTTCTGATCCATTGATCATTGGGGTTACAGCACATGCTACAGATGTTACAGCTAAGATGATGCCACCATGTGGCAATAGCACAAACACAAATAAAATTCACTCAGCCTTTCTGCTGCCATTAGTTTTAAAAATGTTAAATTCTTGATACATTTTTTTTTAATGGGATGTGTATTACTTCAAATTTTGGGCATTGAGACATTACAAGTATTTTCGAATTGCTCCATTTTAAACAAGCATAATTCAATTTCAGGTAAAATGCCACTGTGCTATTCAGGAATTTACCACCAAAAGAGAAGAAATGCAGGGTTGTTTTTTTTTACAGCTTTATTGTGGTATAATTTGCATACCATAAAATTCACCTATTATTAAAGGTGTTGATAAATTTCCTGAGTCATACGACCTCCATGACAGTCCGATTTTAGAATGTTTCCATCACCTCACGAATGCAAGCTGGGCTTTCTGGCAAAATCCACGTCTAGACCAACATGCCCACCCCACCCCAAACTAATTCCAGTCAAGACCAGCCACTTGTCTACCTCACCCCTCAACTCTCAACATTCCTCCTTCCTCTCATGCCTCCAGTTGGTGACAGCCTTGACTCATCCTGGCTCCTGGACTCACCTTTCCTTCCCCCTTCTCCACCTTGTGCTGTAGGTAGCCACTCTGAGCTGGAAGCAGACGTTGTTTTCTGGGGTTCTGGGCTATGACATGGCCCACTTTCCCAGAGCCAACCCCATCCCATCCCATCTGCTTCTATCTTGGAATGAAGGCTATTTCCTGCCGCTCCAGCTGTCTGCTCATGTCTGACATATCAAAGCTGTGCTCCCAGAATTGCTTGTGCATAGCATTTTGGAGTTTCCTGTCTGGTACTGTTGGATATTTCCCATGGCAGTGGAGTTCAAACTCTTCCAGAACAAATTACTCTTCCACTTTTATCATGGGTCTACCTTCGCCTCCTCATTCAGTCTCTTCCCTACTTGGCCAGTAAAGCTGGTGAGGGGTCCTCAAGGGTACTGGTCCTGGTGGACTTCTCTCTGTGGTCTCCTTAAGCTACGAGAAGGCCCCCTTCCTTTTTCTAATGAGCAGGGTATGGATTTTTGTCTGCTCTGTTCACTGATATATTCCAAGATCCTAGAATGATACCAAATCTATAGCAGGCATTTAACTTATTGAGTTAAATAGAATTGGAGTGCTATAGTCTCCTTATAAGGGTGCTGTCTGAAGAGGGTAGGAATGTTCTTAATTCTCTTCCATCTAGGTAGCTGGAAAGCCCTTTGGGAAATAGGTTCTATTTTATCTATTTTAAGCTTCTTACAGATATTTGGATCTCATTTTTCTGAGGATCCCTAGCTCACTGGGCCATCTTGCGAGCTGGTCTGCCCTGCCAGAGAACTCCCTACAAACCTCCCCTGTTCCTCTGCTCAGGTTAATCTTTGATGTTTTACAGCTGGGTCAGTTCCCCCAGCTGGACCCATAACCCCAACTGAGCCAGCCCATCCTGAGACATTCAAGCAGCTGCTTCAACAGCTAGGCTGCCTTTTAGAGTTAGTATCTCCCAACTCCTCTTTCTGGCCTAGCCTTCCACCAAACAGGGCTCCCCAATTCTCCTCTCCCTGGAGTCCTGGGAGGTCATCTTGAGTCAAAGTTTCAGGTCCTCTCCACAAGGATTCTGGCCTCCTTCCCAGTTTTGTAGCCAGCTTAATTTCTGGCCTCACCGAAGACTTCTTTCCTACTTGTAGTGTGCCACCAGGCTTCTCCCTTCTTCAGTGCGGCAACATGCTACCACCTCTCCCACTCTTCGTTAGAGGAATTCTGCATTGTTGGCCGTTAGTGTGGGCACTAAGGTGACACTACTGTGGTTGTTCCCTTCCCCAGTGATCGACTCTAGAGGAACCCATTCTGGGTCCAAGTGCTGGGTTAACAGGCCCACGGAGACCCCACCATTCCCTCAAGCCTGCTCCTGACTGTGGGTCTGGAAGAGCAGCAGGTAGGCGAGCCCAGGAAGGCTGACCAGGCCTGGGGAAGGGGGAGGTGGGGCGGCGGCGCCGAGACAAGGACCTGGCTGGAGTCCTGGCTGGAGAGTAGCCTAGGTGAGGAAAGGTCTGAGGTGGGCAATGGTTTGGGGGCTGTGCAGAGGGTGGAATAAATAGGCGAGGGGGGTGTGAGGCGTGCTGGGGGCGGT